ATACTTTCCACGGTGGTTTCGTATCGCGGATATACGGATAAGCCGAGTAAGTGCAAGCGGAGGCAATGAAATTCTTGAAAGTGAAGCAGCTCGTCGCGCATATCCGAATTACGGGTGACCTTTTCTTTCGCCGAATTACCCCCAGGCGTCCGCCATAGATCTCGTATCAGGGGAGACCGACGTCGCGCTGTAACGACGCGGTGGAGAGGAACGAGGGGGGCAACGACGACGACGACGACGACGACGAGGACGTCCCCGGGCTCGTAAAAATTTTCAAGAAATACCTCAGCAAGGGCCTGTGACACTCTTAAGCTTCTTCCAATTTTAGAATGTCACAGCCATACGCGAGGTCGTAACCCCGCTACGTGACTTCGTAGCGGAGGCTCCCTTTCGCGGGATCATGTGTGCCTCGTTGGCGCGCGCCGTGTTCCCGACACGTGCCCCGCACGTCAATATAAACGCGCGCGCGGACGACGAAAATGCATACGAATTCGGCGGAGGGATTTCGTAAACGCGATGGTTCCACGTCGTTACCCGCAGGACGCGCGCGGCAAGACGCGCCCGGGAGAGAGATCGGAAAAGCGCGCACGCGGCACCCACCCCCGTTGGAGACAGCTTGAAAAGTGGCTTTCCGCCGGGGGCGTCGGGATTTATTTTCTCCGAAGCCATTGATAACGCTTCATAACCTGGACTCAATGTATTTCGAGCTATTTATCATCTTTACTTCTGAGAGAAAGGGATGGGAGAGATCGCGCGTCTCGTGAAACACTTGCGAGTTCAATCGTTGAGAAACTTATTAATTCATAATTTACTGTCTTCTTCAGGGATACTGACACGTGTGTGTACACGATCGGAGTTTGGTTAGCACATATACAGAACGTTGAAAAAAAGGGTAAAATATTTTAAGGGGACTTCGTATGCCATAAAATAAATCAAAAAGTCTTAATAAATAAGGGCCGCAAATAAGCCACTTCTGAGATATTTGCAATTTGTCACTAATTTATTAATTTATTTTATGATATACCTGTCAGTCTTTAAATCAATATATAACGTTAATATATAACGTTGAACTAATTGCATGGCTGATTTCACAAACAAAATAATCATGCACTAACTCCTTAAGAAACAACTTTCTCAGTTAAAAAAGTAGTAGAATTTCTAGTAAGAAATATGAATATGATTTTATTATTATTGTAGCCAAACATGTCTGGTTACATTAACCAAAACGCATGTGTGATTAAACTTGTCTGATTACCAAAATTATGGTTTATTTATCTCATAAAATACTCTAATGTATGCTGAAGACAGATTAATTCCACCAATTTCTTTTCTCGTTTTTATCTGAATAAATTCGTCCTTGAAGAGGTTAATATTCTTTACGATTTAATGAAATAACGAGGAACTGCTGCGTTCCTTGCTCTCTTACTCGTCCCTGAGACAAAGTGTCCCAAGCAGTAATTCCTATTCGCCGCATCATACGCGCTCGTGTATCGATCAGCGCGTGGCCTGTCCACTTTAAACGTTCCACCTCGATTGACGGCATCGTGTCTTAAATATTTACACCGGTACGTCCGAGATGACGGGGGTTTTCGCGCGAGACGTCTGTCGGTGCAAGGCGGTAAATCGCATCACGTTCATCCAGCGCATGAAAGAGAGAGAGAGAGAGAGAGAGAGAGAGAGAGAGAGAGCGCATACGGGGTAACTTCCATCTATATTTTATCGTCGCTTTCAGGAAAATCGAACTCACTTCTGGATTCAAGGGGGCTGTTTCGGGGCATCCAGCCCCCTTCATTCTTCAGCGTCTCACGAGGAGAGAGAGAGTGTGAGAGAGAAAGAGAGAGAAAGGGAGAAAGAACGATCCAGTCGTGTACACGGCTCAGGTCTGCGCCACGGGATAATGGCACTTTATTTGCATGCGCGATCAATTTCCCCCTTCCGCGCGGTGGGGGCGTAACGGCTACCGATTACATAATTTTCTTCGATATTAAAGCCGGCCTCCGCCCCACGGCGCCAAGGGGGCAGGAGAGAGGGTGCAGCCGTATCGCGTGCAACTTTGATGTGCCTCGGTCGATAGAATTGGCTACCTTAGGGTGCCGGGCGAGAGAGCCAGGGCGAAGGCGGCAGCGGGAGCGAGGGTGGATCCATACGGACCAGCGGGCCACCCTTGGCTACGAGCGGCCTCATTGTTACGATTGTTTGGATCGCGCAACGAGGGCTCGACGATCACTCGCCGGGTTTTCGCGGAGCGTCAATAATTAACCGGTCGAGTAATTAAAAGTAAATAGTAGAGCGCGCCGGGGGAGAGAGCGGGAGGGCTGCGTGTTCATTATCGACACGGGAAAACGCGTTCGCAAATACGTCACGAGCGATATCGCGGTCGTTCGCTCCTTCTTTCTCGGGATGCGCTTCCGCGGGAATTTTATTTTTAGCGTAAACGCGCTCGCTCGCGCGCGCAATAAAATCGAAGCGTTGATGCACGACGCGAGACCAGGGCGCCTCGGTCGCGTTATTATACCGGATTAATGAATAATGCTAATGTTCACCGCGCCTGGATTCGCGCTAGCGCGCGGCGCTCTCTCTCTCTCTCTCTCTCTCTCTCTCTCTCTCTCTCTCTCTTTCTCTCTCTGTCCCTCTATTTTGCAGTCTCACTTGGGCCGCATAAAACATCTGATTTGAATGGTATCAGATCGCCGGCCGTAGCGCCGCGTCGCTGGGAATATAAATGGCGCGCACCGGGCGTGAAGAATCCATCCAAGAATGTCGCGCGACGAGTTAAGGACATTTGCTTCGCGGTCGAGCGCTTCGGTCGCGCCCTGCCGCGAGGGAACCACCTTCTACTCTCTCTTTCTCTCCGTAACTCCTTCTCTCCCTCCCTCTTTCCCGTCTCGTTTTATTTTTCGCGAGCGTCTACAAATCCGGAACGAATCGGAGGAGGTCCGGTACATCGCGCAGAGAGATCGTAGCTTATCTAATCGAGAAACTTTTCTCTTTGCCGCGCGGGGCCGGCGCGAGGTAAAATCGTAAAAGGAAACGAATCGAGTGGGATTAAAAGAGCGGGGAAAATGCTTTATTGCTTAGCCAACTCACCTTCGTCGGTTAAATGAGCGCCGCCCACCTTCGCGTTGCCGACTGTAAAAGGAGAAACGCCGGTAAGTTGGATAATTAAAGGATTTCGATAGCAACGCGGCGTCTCACTGATAAACTACTCCTCGCTCAAATGCCGCGCGGGTCCGTTAGCTAACGTTATTTGCTCCCGCGCACAGTTCTTGTCTTTTAACGGGGCGCGCTCCATTCATCTTACGAAAATATCGGCGGATAATTCCGTCAAAATGTCCAAAGTAATGTTTCTCGAAGCGCGGTTCGGAGCCCGCGTAGAAATTTTCCAAGATTTTCTCATATGTTCAGATTAAAATACTCAAATCTGTTCCAAAATTAGTTATCGCATTACGGTACTAATTGAGACTCTTTCTTTCGGAATTCTTGTATCTAATATGGATTCTCTGTTTAGAATTGTAACAGAAATATTATAGCAACTCGTGCTTGTTTCAATGTTTTTTCAGATAAAATACCTTTGAAATAATTTTACAGAGCAATGAAATTATTTGGAAAGTCAACATGTGTGTTTTGTTTAAATAACTAGAAGAAATAAAAGACTAAAAAAATATTAACGAATTTTAAACTTTCTCTCGTAGAGTCGCACATTTGAAACATTATACTTCTAATTATTTTTAGAATTCATTATTATTATTAAATAGTATGTTTGAAATATTATACTTCAAAAATCAAAAAGATAAAATATTTTTAAAACTATTTGAATATTTCACCGAGTAATTAAATTATTTGGAAATTCAAGATATGTTTTGTTTATTACCAGAAATAGAAGACGAGAAAGAATAAAAGATAAAAAAATATTCACTTTTCCACTTAGAATCATATTTGAAACATATTTCTAATTTTTAGAACTCATTTTTATTTTGAGGAATCTCGAATTATATCCAATTAGATTACAAGATATATTTTTTATGCGGGTAATAGAAAAAAAATAAAGAAAAAGTTTTTGAAACACTGGATATTTTACTGAATTAATGAAATTATTTCGAAAGTCATGTTCTATTCAATTCTAATGTAAAATAAAGACCAGAGAAAATATTGGAAAAATCTTTGATTTTCTACTTAAGAATCGCATGTTTGAAAGACTACACTTCTAATTAGAATCTATAATTATCTTAGGAAACTGAACTGTATTTCAATTAGATCCCAAGAAATTTTCTTGGTAATTTCATTAAATTAGGAAATTAGGAAACGCTGCCCAAGTCGAAATTTTGGCCTTATGTTAAACCTTGAATTCTACAACATTAGGAGCTAAGTTAGCAAAGTATATTTAATTCTAGTGATACAATTTATGCTTACTTTGACTCTGATAATATGTCCGAAATTTCTCTTTTCATTTTCTTTAGCGTTAAAGTAGATGTTGAATAGAACAGCAAGGCTGAAAGTAAGATCAAAATTTCGAGTCGGGCGTGTTTCACCTCCGACAAAGTTGTCGCGTTATTAAATTCGCAGGGAGCGAAGCGAACGCGCGAGTAATACTCGTTTTTGCGCTACGAGCGCGAGGGGAGTGCATCATCGCTTCCGCGAGTTTGGAAGCGATCCTCAAGGTGGAGCGCGATGGGACGTCGACTTCACCGCGAAACTTTACGGCACGCAAGAAGATTCCGAGCGAGAAGTGCAATCAAGACGCGGAAAAGTTGGCCGTGGTGACTTACCGTTGCACATGCCGCCGGTGCAATTCGCCACGTTGATGTCCCTGCCCTGGCAAGGCCGGCCGCCGTGGCTGGGTGGCGGTTCGTCGCACGATCTCCTCTTCGTGTGCGTGCAGTCGCTCCCACACACCGACCATGCTGACCATCTGGACCATCCACCGTCCACGACTGACGGGAAGAGGCGGGCAAGAGAAAAGAAAAAAGAAACAACACTAGAATAAAGGATCGTGGTCTCTCTGATGTCGTCGTCGCGGAGCTAACGTTCACGACTGGGTTCTACGATCGGACGACGACGTGTCTGCGACGACGGTGAGAGAAGAAAGTTCGACGGGACAGAGGACGGGCTCGTAACTCGCACGAATCCCCGCGGTCTCGTTGCGGGAGACCATACTTGTCAATTCGGGGCTACGTTTATCGCCGCGCCGCCGGCTCTTAGCGGCGACGTTTATTTCTCCACCCGCATAATTGACTCGTATCGACGCGCTTTTCTCTACGTCGCCACTCACAAGACCAAGAGAGAAAGAGAGAGAGAGAGAGAGAGAGAGAGAGAGAGAGAGAGAGAGGTGAAAAAAGAGGAAAGAAAAAGAAACGCACGAGAACAAGAGGATGACTAACTGAAGACGCGCCGCGAACCCGTTTGCATGCTCAGCCTCTCTCTTTCTCTCTGTCTCTCTCTCTCTTTCTCTCTCTCTCTCTCTCTCTCTCTCTCTCTCTCTCTCTCTCTTTCACTCGCTGCTTACTCGCTTCTGAGCTGGCATGCTTTATTGGCACTTAAGCGCCACCGGATAAACAGCACGGCTCGCACTCTGACTTGTAAGGCGCGCCACTGACGTTTCCCAGATAGACTCTCATGATTATCACGGCGTGAGATGATCGATGATGGGAACTTTACAATTCTTTTCATTATATATATGAAAAACGAAGATATTGTATTGAATTAAATATTAAATATACACTATACATTAATATAAATTTTTTGTTGCACATGCAGCGACAAATTTACTAAAAAACATGTTCAGATTATGTTTTGCATGATTTATAATTTTCAGCAAATTCTGATAATTTTTTTCGTATTTTTCTTACATTTCTATTTCATCATTCTACATTGAGAGAAATCATCCGATAAAAAATTAGCAAACGGATACTTCCGATCAAAATACCGATTGTGAATTTTTCTCAGTGTATGTGATCATATGAACTCGTAAGGGATACAATCTGTACAAGATGACTGTTATAGTTGCTACCAAAGAGGGCGGTCAAGATGTGCCTATATTCCCGGCAGTTCAATATGGGGTCGATATATATATATATATATATATATATATATATATATATATATATATATATATATATA